CTCATTTTCCTCTAGTAGTAGAAACAGTGTCAAGCACATAGGAGGTGCTCAATAATTATTTGTTGAATAAATTAATAAGGCAATTTCTGAATTAAGAAGGAATGAATTATGTTTAGAATGTTTTCAGTGCATAGTATGTTCAATATTTTGGAAATCAGTAGTCTAAGTGTGATACATATATATGTGACCTAAATGGACCTAATGTTTTATTGTGGACATTTTCAAACAGATTCAAATAATATGAATAATAGAATAATGGTGTGACTCTGTAGGATAAACATTGGATTGCAAACCACAAGGTCAGCAGTTCAAACTCACTAATCACTTCTTAGAAATTCTATAGTTGGTTGCTATGAGTTGGAACTGAATTAATGATAACTGATAACAATAATATGTATACATCAAAAGCCCTGGTGGTACAGTGATTAAGCACTGGACTGCTAACTATAAGGTTGATGGTTCAAACCCATCTGTTGCTCCACAGTAGAAACAAAGATATATTGCCTTGGACATCCTATGGGGGACTCTACTCTGCGCTACAGAGTCAATATAAGCAACAAGTTTTGTTTTTCATTTTTCCATTATTCCACATCAACAATACCAATGTTTTGTCCACCATTTTGATCAGTTTCTTTCACCCACGTTTTTCCTCTGGGCTACTTTTAAAAAAATCCAAGACATATTATTTCATCTGAAGTTTTTAGTATGCATGTTAAGTTAACTACATTTTTACAAAGGATAAAGTAAAAGAGCTGCACAGAAGATTTCAAAGGAAAGTAAGTTAAGATGAAGGAAAGATGAAATGTGCAAAGATCTGGAGTTAGAAAACCAAACAGAAAGAAAATGCTTGGCATTTCTCACAGTGAAAGAACTGAAGGAAAAAAAAAATCAATCTCAAGTTGTAATATTGAATAATTCTATGAGGCAACCAGTGAACGATGCAGGAAGCATCAACAGAAGATTGAAGGGACACACAGAATCACTGTACCAAAAAAAAGTGGTCAATGCTTAGCTATTTCAGAAGTAGCATATTCAAAGGAAGAAGTCTAATTGTACTAAGGCATTAGCAAAAAGCAAGGCTCTAGGAATTGAAGAAATACCAACTGAGATTTTGCCACAGTGGATTCAACACTAGAAGTACTCACTCATGTATTCCAAGAAATTTGTAAGACAGCTACCAGGCCAACAGACTGGAAGAGTTCTATATACATGTCTATTCCAAAGAAAGGTGATCCAACAGAATTCAGAAATTCTTGAACAATATCATTACTACCATACACAAGTAAAATTTTTCTGTAGCTAATTAAAAAATTGTAGCAGCAGTGTATAGACAGGGAACTGCCAAAAATGCAAGCTGGATTCAGAAGGAGATGTAGAGTAAGGGATATCATTACTGATGTCAGATGAACATTTGCTAAAAGCCACGAATACTAGAAAGATGTTTATCTTTTTATTTTATTGATGATGTAAAGGCATTTGACCATGTGAATAATAACAAACTATGGATAACTTTTTTTGAAGAATGGGAATTTCAAAACACTTAATTGTGCTCATGCAGAACTTGTACATAAACCAAGGGCAATAGTTCAAATAGAACAAGGGGGTTTAAAATCAGGAAACGTGTGGATCGGAAGTGTATCCTTTCACCATACTTATTCGGTCAGTGTTGTTGTTGTTGTTGTTGTTAGGTGCCATCAAATCAGTACCAACTCATAGCAACCCTATGCACAACAGAACAAAATACTGCCTGGTCCTGGGCCAACCTCACTGTTGTTGCCATGCTTAAGCCCACTGATGCTGCCAATTTGCCAATCCATCTCGCTGGGGAGATTCCTCTTTTTCTCTGACCCTCTATCTTACCAAACATGATATCCTTCTCCAGTGACTGGTCCCTCCTGACAATATGTCTGAAGTATGAGAGACAAAGTTTGGCCATCCTGGC